GAGCCCGTAGAGACGAGGAATTTTAGAATCATAAGCGGCGACAGATTTTTTCACGGAGTCAGATAAAGCAGAACCTTTAATGATAGATTTAGGTTGCGTTCCATAGGATAACGATGTCGGGATTAAATGTTAGAGATTTTAGGGCAATGCGTTCAGGCTTTGCATTATTAGATTTACGGGGTTTTGACTTTTTCAAATCGAATTTTATTAGATGTTCCAGATGGAAGTTTGTTTAGGATAATTGACTCGACATTGGAAATGATTTCCTCTTTTGGGATTATACGTGGGGCAAAGACAAAGTTGGAACCTTTTGAAAGAACTGATTTTTCAGTTTCCAAAAGTTGGTGCAATGATACATTTATCACAGTGTTTGGTAGTTAAGAAGAGTTTGATGGTTTCCCTAGTGTTGACGTTAGTTTTTCAAATTTCTAAATGTGATTCTGGATAGAAGATAAGCGGAGATTTAAATCTTTGTCATGAATCATGTTTGAACGGGTATCGAACTCGGATGGGAACAAGATTGAAGCAATTTCAAGAAGTAGACAGAAGAGTCTCACTTATTAAGTATATTTCCTTACGGGGAATTCTTTCGCGAAGTAAAGCAAAACTAGATTTTCCAAGAATTTTATAAGCGGACGAGGTTTTGACATGATGGGATTTTACCCCTGAGGTTTTTGGTGGTGGTATAAAAATAAAAGATCCAGAAAATAAATACATATTATGGAATTATCTATCTAAAAGTCCCAACATAATAATCTTACTTTAATTTAAATAATCCAATTTTAAATAACCCAAATATTTGCTGTGAACTATCGAACTATGAAAATCGGGGATGTCGTTATGGTCTCTAGAACGTAACAAAAAGGTACAGAGTAATCTTACCAGTTCCAGTCGGTGTTCTTCTAACTTTCTGCTTTTGCGCTTGATTTCTTCTCCATAAAGGCTTGTTAATTTTTCAAAGAAACTTCCACAGGCTACTGTAATTCTTTTTATAAATCTTCTGGTTTCCTTATACCCAGATTTACCACTTGTCCAAAAATCTTACAACATCTTCGGTCCGTCAAAGACAAAATTCCATTTGAGATGCCAGAACTTTACAGCATTCCATGCATATGCGGCAAAGAATACATTGGAGAGACCGGCACAAAGAACATAAAAGAACCTTAAGATTAAGACAAATAAACTCACCAGCAATTGCCAAACACAATCACCAAACCGAACATAACATTTTATTCGATAAAAATAAAATTCTTGCATGTAATCAATTCTTCTAACAACGAAAAATTCGAGAGTCTATAGAAATCTATAAGCAACCTAACAATCTTAACTGCGACTCAGGTCTTTACCTGTCACCAATATGGGAATCAGTCATCTGAGACGGTGTGTATGCTCCTCATTTAGATCCGCCCCTAGCTAGTTCGACTCAACAAAAACCGATGCAGGAGGAATCCAGAAGTTTTATAAAAAGCATATTGTAGATGGTCGACAATTCCAACATTTGATTTGCAATTTTTTTTACTACTATCACCAACATCGTTAATATTAACTACTGTTTTTTTTATTCCTCCCCGTGCATTCTCATTTTTTAAATATTTATTTTATTTATTTAAACTTGAACATTTTTCCAGATTGTCATCATGTTTTAACCATATAACTCGGCAGATAGCACCAACGTCCAGATAAATTTCAAAAACTGTCGATTTTTATTATTGTACTACTCAATTAATGAGAAAAGTTCAGAATAAAATTTAAACTTTGAAACGACACCAGTGACATTTGCAGGAAGTGTGTTGAGCTAAATTATAATATTTTGGTGTAGACCTCCTCCGATCACAGAAATATATCGAATTAAGAATCAGCCTATATATTCTGATGTTCCGAATGAAAAATAATTGGATGGGAATATACGCAATTTAGCAGGGAATTACATAATAGTCGTTGGTAGATTTTGCAAATCTTTGCAGTTCCAGCGATGTTGCTCAACTAATTTAGTCTTGCTTATAATAAAGCATAAATGCCGCTGTTAGCTCTTTCTTTGATCATGCGCTGCGTCTTTGATAAAAACTTTGCAATTATAATTTGCACCTATAATGATGCGTTTTATCTTACCGTTGTGAAGTAACATTTGAAAAGACTAAAATGTATACAGTGCCATGGGACATTGCAGTTTTTAACCATTCGAGTAATAACGCACAGAAATACACTTAACGTATACAGCTTACGACAATCAACTTTTTTAAAATATTGATAAAATGTTAAAAAGTAATAATAGGCGTATAATATTTTTATTTTCTTAATTTATTACAAATTAAAATTTTCCACCAAATAACAGATTTACGTGCAACAAAGGCGATAATGTAGAAAAAGATGGCGTTAAAAATGTACAGGTTTATTTAAGGATTATACAACAAGTTTGATAAAGATGACTGAAGAAGTGCATGAAGCAGTGTTGCTTTTCTACGGCCATTAGATTTTGGATACACTTTTGCATTATAAGTAAGTACTGAAAATATGCGAAAGTACCGCAAACCACCGAAGTGAATAGCCTCCACTGAATAATTGGGTATTTTAGAGTAGGGAGTGAAAAAATATTTCTTTCTTCGTTCTTTAAAACTATTTGACCTATCCCTGTCATAGTTGTGGGTAGTGTACCTATACACCCCACTAGATATTGTTAAATAAAAATTTCTGGTTCCTACCAGAGGCATACAATACGGGCAAGTGACTGGCTGACCTCTGGCCAAATTCCACTAGCTGAATTGCTACTTTAGTACAATTTTTTGGTTCTTTAATACTGTAAAATCTCGTTTATTTTGTTACAATCTAACTAAAAGAATAATTTAAATAACACTCACATATCAAAAATCCTATGATATCTATAGGGTACAACTCAACGCTCATTTCTAACATTACACGCACTTCTAACCTTCAGATTTACAAAAACTACAAAACTACAATATTACGGTCTAGAGAACAACAAAACCAAGAAAAATCTTAAAATTACTTCTGCTCTGGCCTGAGTTTCGATTGTCAATTCCGTCAGACCTCTTAAAGTACGACGCGAAACAGCAGATAAAAGAAGAGCACAGTCGAAAAATTAATTGGCGATTCTGTGTAAAATAGTAGTTTTGTTACTAATTAAACACATATTGGTTTAATTTTGCCACATCTAGTATTTTGTCTTTTGTCAGTACCTAATTATGAACTCATAACACCAATGGGTAAGAGAAGATGAATGCCTGACAAAAATATTAACCGGATACGTACAAAACAACATCGTGACCACATAATAATCAAACGCCTTTACCATACTTGGCCAAACGATCATCGTTTATAATGTTTACATTATAGACGGCCATTTTGTGGAAACGTTTTCGTAATAAAGAGTAAACGGGTCAATACTGACGAGACTTATTACACTCAAACACGCAAATGAACACTTATTATTAATGTCTAATCAAAATATAAATAAAAAACGAATTGCGCGGTAATTTCATCGAGTTAAATTAGCATGGCGCTAATACGAACCCCTGTCGGTTTTTCCGAAAAACAAAACGGCGATCGATACCTGAATGGTGTGTTCAACCTGTCATGTGCGCTTCATGATTCAATTAAAGAAAAAAAGAAAGCGGGTTGTTATATCATAACTATGCTATTTTTTCAAAGAACTTTCAGCAGTGGAACAGAACGCAATCAGAAGAACAACTATGCTGTCGGTAATTTGTAATTAAGCACTCTGTTCTCCAGATCTTGAACATTTGTATTCTGCAAACTGATTTTTGTTGAATTCATTTTTCAACTGAACAGAGAATATCCGAATTCTGCCTGTCAGTAAGCAAACTGCTTGGAGTTGGATTGTATATTGTATCTGTCCATGACAAGTGACAAGTTTAAGAACTATTTTGCTTCAGTCTCGGAAACAACCTCTTGCATTGGACTAAACATTAATGTAAACAAATAGGAGGTTGTGTTTCCATTTGGGCTAATCCATTTCGGGTAATCAATATCAATTATCGTGTACAAAAAGGGAATCATCATGAACGGGAGTATTTTTCAGTGATTGACCAGATATTGGAAAGTATTCTAGAAAAAAATTATTTAAAAATGTACTTTGTTTAGCAATGATCAGCAAGCCTCAAGAAAGAGTAGGTCAATATCAGCGTTACTGTGTGCCTATCGACTTGTCGTTGCAGTTTATTTGTTTTTATCTTATGATTCAGCTCCAGTATAGTTGTCTCTCCCGACGGGGTCACTATTATTCATTTTATTTATAAACGATTTTCCCCATTTTCTCAAAATATTGCGATTGCGTACCATTTAAGTCGATTTTGTTCGGGCTAAATAACTCTCTTTGATATCAGTAGCAGTAGATTAGAATAAAACGAAACTAAAGCAACTCAGAGACGTTAACAAACATGTTACGCATACATCATAAACTCATAAAATTTTTATTCATGTCAAGGATAATCAAGTTGATGTTTAAATAACTTGATATCGAAGCATTTTGTACCTTTGTCTATGGTAACAGGTATCAGATGTAGCAAAGATAAAATATAGAACACCTTTCATCAAATGTGGACAACGTTTATTTGATAGTGTCCTGTTCTGCACTAACTTCTCGAACTTCGAATTTAGTCTGTGGCCTGTTGATTAAAAATACGGAAGAGACCAAAGAAGCGGAACACACTAAATTATAGGTTGGGATTAATTTTGACGAAAATATGCTTCAGTTTACTTAAATTTTGAATTCTGTATTACATTTATCCAATTAAAATTGCATCCTCTCTCAATCTCTTTCAATTGATATCAGTATAGTTAGAATTGACAGTAAAATGGGCTGTGTCAAACATTTAAAAATAGGTGTAGGCCCACATAGTTCACAGTGTAAAAATTATATCGTTAACAAAACAAAAACAATTGAAAATTGTCTTTTATTATCAATCCAAAAAATATCAAAAACATTTCAGAAAAAAACATTCTATTTAGCTGTATTGACATACCTGCAAGTCTATCTTTCACCACTTGCGAAGCAAAAGCTGCAGCAGCAGCAGATCTCTGCAGTACGGGGTCCAAACTTAAAGTCCAAGGATTAAAAACCGCCCCCGCTGAAGGCGGACTACCCGAACCACCGATAGGTCTATGAGCGGGTACCCTTAATACACCCTGTCCATAAAAACCGGACGGTACGAGTCCGCTTAACGTCGCGGCAGATCTACTCTGGAAAATCGCCGCGGAACTCTGGTAGAAGTTTGCCGGATCATTTTCGGGTTTATGTTCGAAATTTTTACCTAACAAATTGGAAATACTGAACGGTAAAGCAGGTTTCGTCGACGTATGGGACGATTCCGTCTCTGGGGAGCTACATCGGCTGCGGACACTCCTCGCTTCACTGTCACTATGGGACAACCTAGAGTCTGTGTCCAAAACGTTTATCTCGTGGTCATCGTCGGCCAGCTCGTGATCTGACATGATTATGATCAACGATTTTAATCTAACAAGCAGTAAATCATTTAACAACGCACTATAATCTTCGCGCCATTCGACCAGGTTTAAACTGCGGTTCAATTAAGACGCGTCAAAAACCGGCCTTTAATTAGCCGTAACCGGGACTTTGAGCCCTTCGCCGTTGTTCAGTCGTCGATTGTCAGTCGTAGACTAGCGCCCAACGATGCGTTGCCATGACATCGACGGCGTAGTTAACACGTATCCAATCATTTGTCAGATTGCCTGTTTAGGCTCCGCCCAGCCTCATTTCCCATTGGATTAAACTGATTCGGGCTAAATTGAATATCTTTCTGTTAATTTTTTTTGGGGAATCAGGTAAGTGGCTTGTTTCAGCTTGTTCGTTGAATGTTGGCCTTTGTGCTGTATGAAATAGCCTAGAATAGATTTGAAATAGTTTTTTTTTAATTATTTTAATATAATTAAGTTACTTAATTTTAGTACCTAGATACGTTCATTTTACAGGAAATTAAAAAAAAAACTACTTAACTTATTAGGGTGGCAGTAGATGTCGTATTATATTCTTAATTTCAAACCAGCGACCTAACGCTTTTACAAATAATCCTTAGGATTAAGAAAAAATGAGAAATGCACAAGGGCCACCTTGAACAGCTTTGATTAGTTTGGTCATGGAAATTCTATGGACATGTTTAACGGCCTGTCATGACGTTACGTTGGCATTTAGCTACTATACATGTAAAACACGGTTAACCAATACTTACTTTACTTTGATTTCGCTGCTTTCACGGTCCTATCAATGAAAATTAATCATATGTATTTTAGGTGGAACATTTGGAATTTTGCTCAAAAACAGAATGACCGCAATGTTCCATTTACAATTTGAGTAGATCGTGCTATACTGCGACAGCCACACCATATTTGATAACAATATATCTTACAGGTCTCTAGATAGTTATGTCTCATAGGTCATTAAGTTTGGTTAGTTTTGGTTAGTATAAGTAGTTAGTATAAGTAGTTATGTACGCGCCTTGAGAAATATCTTACATATATTTTTTGGTTTTGGGTTCTCAACGGTTACGTACTTTCCACTCACTTTATTTATAAAACGATGATAACAAATATTTTTTTCTACTCCCGTCTGGAAAATGCCTAATTACGGTAATTAGCGTGCGGGAAGCATCACTTTACCACGTCAGTTTCGATTCCCACGGACCCGAGCCACTTCCGACATTTCCTGGATTTTACGGCACTGGTTTGAGAGCAATCGGATGTTGTCGGAGATATTTCCCACTCCTTGAATTTTTGACGTTTGTCAATTTGACGGTCATGTCAGTGAATATATTCGTGTTGCAAAAATATACCCAAAATCTAACGGCCGTAGAAAAAGTATACTATGAACTAATAAACTAGTGAGTCAAATGCACATTTAACTGTCATACCAAATTTTCAAAAATCTACATAACTTTCACACCTAGTCAAAATTTGCATTGCATATCTCTATCTGTTTTTGTTTCTTGTCAGATCAATAACTAAAAATTTAATTTAATAGATGTTGCCATTCTTTATGCAAATGTTCGGACCCAATAAAATAGTATATTATGCAATAAGTTTAATAAACGCCACTTCAATCAGCAGTTTATTTTGACCCGAGCAGAGCGATTGTTTAATAAACGAACAATATAACAGCACATACACATTCACTTAAAGGGACAGTTTGTGCGCACTAAATCAGTGTTTCTTCTTCTGCTGGTGCCACTCCTAGCGCAGATTGGATATCATAATGGCCAATCTCACTTTGTTGGCAACTTTTATAAATAATTGACTCGAACTGCAGGCACACCACTTCCAAAAATTCCGCTGCCAGGATATTATATAAAATGTTTAAAGAAGGCAAGAATGCGTGTAATATGAAATTCTATTCAAGAAAAAATAAGATCAGCAACCCTGACTGCCTCAATTTTTTCAAATATTGTGATCAGATTATATTGTAACTATAGATTCCGGCAAGTTTCAACGAACGAACTGTGTCGAGCAATACGCCAAGTAACAAAGCCAGTCAAATGTTTTGTTTGAAGAATTAATTGTCATTTTTTTAAGGCCATGTTCCTTTTGTTTGCGTTTCTCATCGTTGTAGTCGGGGCCATTTTGATTTTCCTAGAATCGCTATCCAATTACTCCCGTTTAACTGTTTAATAAATGAAAATAATTAGTATAAAGTTTTCTCAAATTAAGGAAGTACGGAGTGAGTAGTAACGGATCTGCCACAGCACCACCAAATTAAGTACCACAAATGTGAATTAATTATTACTATACTCTTTACGAAAAAAAAAAGCAGTGACGAAATGTACGATATAAATTGAAACACTTATCATAAGTGTAACATCTACTTTTCTAGAAAATAATATGAACACATTAAACGCAAAATTATTACCCCTCTCTTTCCAGGGATATTTTAAATTAACCATACTCGTAAGTAAAGGTAAGTAAAATTACGTATTGAACCAATATTTTTATAAACACTACAAATTCCAATAAACATTATGCTATTAAATAACGTAATTTAAAGGGGGTGGGGTCATCTGGGAGACTATTAAAAACTATGCCTCACAAACGGAACCTCCCAGCTACTAACTAAAACTAAAATACAGGTTGTTTTAAAGTTCGGTATCAAAATTTTATTAGGGGTTAAAATTTAAAACGAAAAAATGGGAAAAAGGTTTATTATTTGAAAAAGGTTTGCATTCTAGAATAAACCTTGAAACTTTCACAAATTGTGCACATGTCACAAAGCGTTTGCAAACACATGTTTCCATAGAAAAAAAATCTTAACTTTGTATTTTAAAACACTCTAGAGATTAAATTAATTGTCGATTTGAGACACAATAATCTTGAGAGTACATGGAGACTAGCTCACGAAAAAGAAATGCAAACATTCTCTTCTGTTATTGTAGTTTGAAATTTGGACATTCCAAAAAGTTGAATTATTAATTTCCTGTATTTATCTGTAGATACTACTATTTCGTATTTGAAAACTAAAACTTATTTGATATGGCGTGATATTAACAATTAGTTGTCTTTAACGAAGCTTTATAACGGGAAGTACTAGATGAAAAATAAAAAACTGAAATACATATTACTAGGAAATACTGTTGTGCATACTACATGCGCAGCTCATTTACGAGTGTTGAATAAGATCGCAATTCATTTCATCGAGGCAGCACTCTTTTTTTTTTACTTTCCGGTATTGTGCATTAGAAAAGGGTTCGACGTGAATCGATTTTGAAAAGATATAATTAAAAGCACCTAAACTTAGGAGCAAGACACTCATATACGAGACTGCAGTGATAGTCTAGTCGCCATTAGCTATCTTGAGACTGCAACTGTTCTCAACACCAGGAGAAAAATCTTGGAACTCTTGACCATTAGCTGACTCTTACTCTTATGCAAAGAAACTATTCGCTACCATTGGTGCAGCTGCAACTACTATATTGCAGCAAGTCTTCTGCCTTCTGTTTTTTGCTCTAGGTATATATTTTTTTATTAGTTACTATTTTACGTTATCAGACCACCTCGTATAATAAAATTGTTATATGTTAAAGCATATATTGTCTATAACCTGTTCAATAGTTTTTACGCAAACCGACTCGCATATGTAGTGAAAAATGATAAAAGCTTTCATTTGATTTGCTCATTAGTAATGAGGATAGATACATCCATCAATAAACTGGTGGTTGATTTACAATATTGGATTTGGATATCTCCAATAATTTACAATCGCTGGTCTGTTCCCGAAAGGCAAAGGATATAGGGAAATCACAGTGCCCCTCAAATAGTCTCGAAAACACTGGAAGGCAATTTCTTACTGCAAACTATCCTATTCTCCGGGTAATTCCGAACCACGGCAATACCGGAATACAAATCGGATCCTTTCCGAGAGCTAATTTAGTTAGCACTTGACCCGTGAGAGGGCCGGCAAATAAAACAATCTTAAAGTTTAGTGTTTCCCTCCAGGGACGTACAGACCTACTCGAACTTTATCCAATCTTATTTATTTTGTGAAGATTTATAAGTGAGCGAGATAAAACTATTTGAAACTTTCGGACTGAGAAAAATCATGCTTTAAAGTTGAATGAGTTTAATAAAATTCCGAAAAATAGGGTTTTACGTAAATACACGTATACTAAATATAAACAGAAGAGATGTTATAAGTGTGTGTCGTATCGAAATGTTTTGAAACTATAATATTAACCAAGTCTGGTACTAGAAATCAAAGCTTAAAAACTAACTAAATTGTAATCTACGGATAAATTCTTAGATGTCGTCGAAATGACACTGTGTGGAAAATTATCACAAAAATGTTGTTAGACACGCGGTCCAATCAGCAGTTGTAACATAACATAACATCGACATATAACACGTATGTAAACTGAATGTATTATAGGTGCCTGTAACATTTCTTTACTTAAAATATACAGAATACAAATTTTGTCAGCCGAGTGATTGATTTTCGATTGTAGACTGTTAGATCGCATAGACATTATTCGTGTAGAATCTATCGCAATCTCAAAAAATAATAAATTTTTTGCTTGAACGGCTTGTCTCAATTGGTTTTCCTAGTATATATGAAAATGAAAAATATTTTGATGTGGATGTGCCCTTCCCCTCGAGAAATGCTAACAAATACGATGACAAAGAACGCAGCTGAGGAAAAGATTAGATTGAGAGCAGGTTGAGAAAATAGAACGCAAAATTGCAAAAACTAACTAATGCGCGTCGAAACCAATATCAAATCTATTCTAAGATCGTAGTAAAAAATATATTGGAAAACACCCGACTCAAACCCATTACATTTCCCAGCAATTTACCAGGAATTGTTTTTAATCCTAAAGATAAGCAGGATAGTAGACTAACTTGGCGTGATATTCACAAATATTAAATTGGGGTCCATGTAAAAGGTAATAATTCTTAAATTTCCGTCAAAGCATGATATTGATAGAATGAAGAAAAGAAAATTATAAGACGAAAAAACCCTTAAATCAAAATTCCTGGTTTAATTATGGAAAAAGGCAAGGAAGGACTTGAATCTCTGATTAAAAATCAAAATGTAATTATAGAGAATGGTCATTTTAAGGTGAGATATATTCATTATTTCAGGGACAAAGTAAAACGCT